AGTGGTCTCAGTAATCTTTACCCATTTCTGAGTCATTCCCCAGTTAAGAAAATAATAATCTAATTAAGATAGGAATAATTGTCGGAGTATATAACTATGCAGAATATTAAGCCAAGAAAATTATATGCATTATCATTCAAACAATTCTTAAATCAGTATATATTTTCTCTTTCATTACGACTAGCCATATTATGAATCCTCTTGATTTGCAATTGTTCGAATAGAGCTGCCAATTAACCATTGATCTGTATATATAATTATATTAATAAGTAATTGTAGCTAATGTTGTACGTACAGATAATTATATTTATAGATTAATGCCATCAACACAACATGTCATCGTGGGGATATTTGTATCAGCAACCTAAGTAGTCGTACTGGATGTATCGAAAATATCGCGACGTCCCTTCATTCGAGAGCAAGAGCGAAGCAATGAGCCCAACGCCCGCTTTCGTCGGGCACTTTCGCCATTCTTCCGTGAATTCACTTGAGATCGCAATCGGACCGACAGCGGAGGCGGAGGCGGAGGCGGAGGTGGAGGCGGCGGGCGCCTACGTCACAGACCTTGGGGCTGGGGATAAGCCTCCTTGGAATCGCGGAACCGTGCTGGAAAAGCATTCATTCATTCATTCATTCATTCATTCATTCATTCATTCATTAGTTAATAGCAAAATAGTTACAGACTGAGCGACGTGCTATGGGGAAAAGTGCAATGTGTGCATGGTTTCATGAGCTCTGAGATCTCTACCGTAACTCATAAACATATTAAGTTGAATTATAAATACAGGTAGCAACGAGCGTATTTGGCATATATGAGTATGAAAATATTCGTTCCCTTGTAATAAAAACTATTTGCTATCGGCGACAGAATTCGGCTATTATCCCTTGCCATGCCCTTCGTAACGAAATCGACTTACTAATGCGAGAGTATGGGAAACGACTATTTGAATATCTACATTCCCACTGAGTTCAAGAAAATGTGCACTCAAGAGGCTATGTCAGAACTTGCTCAAATGATCAGGCTAACCGGTAGAAAAACCCGATCGAGTCATTGACCCAGAAGCTGAGGTGAAATACTTGTTACAGGCAGAATTATACAATCTAAATATTAACTAAAACATTAAATATTATTGTTAAAATCAATATTTTCCTTTTTAATGCCCAGTCTTTAATTGTGTAGAAACAGTTATGTAGTAGAAAAGTTTTTATTTGCCACTTTAACTTGTGTATCAAGTTTAATCGTTTAATATCATCAGGTAATGTGTTGTAAAATAATGTACATGTATTTTTTTAAAAAAATTGTTATATCTTGCTGTTGCTACTGACATCTAATGAATATAATTACTTAGTTTGCTATATTTATGTTGTTACCTGTATTCCCACCCTTGAGTAGGTAATTTTTGACGAAAACCACAGATTTGTAAATCAGGAGGCAATGCAATAAGAGACATCTTAGCTTTATAAATTAAGGCTTACATGAATGACGTGGGTGGGATTTTTTTTCATTCGTATAATTCTTTTCTGAAATGTAAAAGTACACAAGTTACATAACAAGTAAGGATGAGTTTCCGCAGAATATTCCCACATCGCAGGCAGGCATTATGCCACTTTCACGAAAAGTACACAACGAGCAGTAAGAAGTCTGACTGAATGTGTAGTATAATAAACTTAAATTCGTATTCAATTAATTTACATAGTTATTCCATTTCCGGTTTTACTGAATTGAAAGACCCAAACATTTTGTTACCTTAACATCAGTCAATGAGACATCGATAAAATTCAATGGAGTGTTCAATTGTTCATTTGAAATGGAAAACTGCATTGAAACCGTTTCCATACGTTTACTAATAATTTGTTATTATAGAACCACTTTGAAGCATCTGACATTGTCTTATTTACTGTTTCCTTATTGCAGCTATGTCATAGTTGCAGGAGGAGCAGTCCTAAGTCTCGTTAGGACCTCATGAAATATGGAGCGTTGAAGCCCTGAATATTTCAGATCTAATTTTCGGTAAATTTTAAACATAATTAAACCAGTGGCTCTACAACCGCACATGCTTTCTCGTGTTATTTGTAACGGATACGTAATTTTATAATACTGGAAACTGTATCCTCCTAATTGATCAGACATCTCGCGAAACACACTTTAGTACAAGAAGCACATGATAGTCAATTTTACCAACGCCAAAGATTTGCAATTTTTCGAATGTTCACGAGTTTTAATGAAAATCGATTTTAGGGCTGTACCATATTTATAGACAAATATAAGGGGAAAATGTGGCCCTGAGAATTGTGTAAATCGGCCCCCAGCCTTCAGTTTGGTAAAGCAAGAATGATGCCCGCTCATCTAGCGGGTGGCCTCACACGCAACTAATGCACAATATTTAAGCAATTGAGGAGAACAAATGTTTCACAACTCAGCATAACATGACTCCAAAATTACAAATATTTCGAAAGCATTTCCTTGAGGTGAATTAAAGTTATATTATTGGGGAATAAATTGCATTGAGGGAGAAATCTCTAGCTTCAATGTTGAGGGATAAGAACTGGTTGGAAAAAAATATATATTTCGTGTTTCCGGGCGCATACACAGCTAAGGTGGATCCCGTAAACGCAGTGCGTGTTACATCACTGGAGGATGTCGCTGTTCTCCTCCCCTACTCTAAGGTGAGATGCAGCACCGACTTACGTCGGCTTGCGCGAAAGCGTTTTCTTCCTCATCCAGGTATCTCCCACCATCAGGGCATCACTTCAACCGGGACAAGCTTTAATTTCCCGTCTTTTTTCAGTCTTGGGTGATAGTGTAATGAATGTAAATGTGCACGGAGTGATAATAGGAAAAGGAAGAGGAAGGAAAGATCGCGCGCGGTTCGTGGCCCGTTTGTAAGGATACTTTTCCGGCATTCACCAACTGTTGATCGGGGAAACTACGGAAAACTACCGATTAGAGCCGGCCGCTAGAATTCTCTTCCAGACTGCGGCTGACTTCGATCTAACTATCTAGCTACTGTTGAAATCCCTGCCATCGCCGAGACTCGAACCCTATACCTTCCGGTCAGGGGCACTGCAGGGACAGTAAGAGCAGATCAGTTGAGCATTGCTCTATCGGAGCCAAATATGTCAAGAAAAGAATTAGAATCATTTTCGAAAACAATTGAAATTTTAGGTGTCGCGATATCATCCGAATACAGAAATATCCATTGGTGAAAAACCTGTGTACGGGTTGGTCCAGACATTGTCATCGAGGTCTGTCAACACCCTGGGGATTGATGAAATGTTGAGAGTGGTCAATAATGTTCAAGGAGTCGATTGAGGGTCAATAACCAAGTATACGTCGACGACTGATCGGTATAATTCAGATCTTATTGATTATAAAAAAAAAAATGTATGAAGTCGATGGGTACCTAATGTTTTTCCAACATAAATCTTGAAAATATCTAATAATAAATTATGAATTCGGTCCTCTTTTGAAATTTAATATCATTTCCACGAATGACATCGAAATGTTTGTTAAATTTGTACCTATTATTTTTGTTTCTGAAACGATGATAGTATTTGTAGACATTTTCAATTATAATAGAACAACAAACAATAATTGTATTGTATACTGCTTTGGATCAGGTCGCTCTAGCCTTTACAGCCCTCTCAACAACCAGCCCACCCGGCTACATCACAATTTTCTTGACACTATATTTCCTCACAGACACACAAGCGCGCACGCACGCACGTAAACGACAAACACACAAACAAATTTTTAGAAACAACTTTTCGTTATCAAGGGCTCACAAAAATTTAATTTTGACTTACTAATTTAATCCATAAAAAGCAAGAAAATTCCACCTTCTTCGGAATAAGGATCCATGAAACGAGTTTTTCTGTAGAAAAATCGGTATTTTTTCCTTCGGTTCTACATACTACATATATAGTAGTTACGAGAAAGTAAAAAGCGAAGCTGGTCTGCAGATTCGCAGTGTTTTTGACAATATTGATATCAGAAAAAATAGCTAGGCAACGTGCGAAGAATAAATGACGATAAAATGCCAAAAATGTAAGGGGATACAAACCTCCAGAAAAAATTAAAATGGGGCTTAGTCAAAGATGATATCAGCAACAGATATCGTCCAACCGTGCTCTGGGTCTAAGGCGTATAGCGTAGAATAATGAAGGAATGTTTACATAAAACAACAAAAGTTTTCAATTTATAAGTATTTGAAGATGGCGAAACTCCATGAAATTTTCATGAAATGATAATTTGAGTATTATTGAATGCACGACCGGGTTAAGAGTCCCAGGGACCACTAAAATGTCGGGTTTGAATATCATAAGCATACAAAATATACCATACTATTATGCAACTAGTTTATAATGCTACGCTCTATAACTACATGTTTTGAAAACGAGGGGCGTTAGACGGGAGTTTTCATATTTGTAAGAAAGCAGTAAAGCATCATTATAAACGAGTTGCATATGCTATTTTTGTATAACATTATAAATGTATTTAAAACGATAAGAATATTTCTGTAAACAAATTTCAAAAGCAGTTTTGTTGTTGGCAATATAGCGGCCCATTATGAAGTCATGCAGGAAGTACGGGGCGGGAGGGCAGGAGATGAATACGAGCAGTAAGGAAAGGGCAGTGATGAAGGGGCGGGCAGGACGAGTGGTGAAATGAAACGTGTTTGGTAAAATGACAATTTATGAACGAAGTCTAGCTCCGGAAAAAGGTCGTTTATAATGCTGGTTTGTAATAAATATTTTTTGCTATTACAGGAATGTTTAACTGTTATAATGTGATTGTCCAATTGATATAATTATTCCAATCTCCTTATATTAGGGACAATCAGATGAGAAGAAATTCAGTCAATTTTACCCATATATTAAAACGTTTCGAAGAGACAGCTTATCATCATGACCATCATCAGCCTTTTATAGAATACTCCAATCCATGATAAAGGAGCTCCTCACATCACACAGGGTAAACCATAGTTTCCACCAGCATCATGTATGTACTGGGCACAAGTTACAACTACCATGCTCAAGGCACAGTTGTTGTTGCTACTTTACACTGGAATGCTAGAGACACGCAATTTGTAGGCAAAATAATGACGCTGACGGAAACGACGGTTTATCGCAGGTGATGGGAGAACACATTGGCCTATCTCCTTTATCGTGGATTAAAATATTTTATCAAAACCCGATTAAAAGGAGCAGCCTCTTCAAAATGTAATTTTAATACCTAAATTGATACGATTGTCTAAATAACTTTTTACTTGATTGTTTCGAATATAAAGAGAAAATTGGAATAGTTTCACTATTTTAAGTATTATGCAAATAATTTCCCCCCACATTTGTATTATTAAAATAGTTGATTCTGAAAAGCGAAGTAGTAATAAATAACAATACGAAAATGTAACAATGTTATCTAATGATACCTATTACAATAGACAACATAGCACGTTCATCGATAACGCTAGTATACATGATTGTGTGCATCGTTTCTCCCTGCCTCAATCAGATTCCTTTTGACTTAAAATGAAGGAAATTTAATTGCATAATGGTCTTGATTTGGGGGAGGGCTTTCATGGCAATAATGGTCTTTGCGCTTTTCTATTTTTTACTCAAAGACTGCTCTGGATGACCTGCAAGAGTTCTCTACGCGCTAGGAGTCTCAATTCATTTGTTTTCTTTTTTTCGATACACATTTCTGATTCTGCACAATTTTCTCTTATTCATTTTTTAATGATTAATTCAAGAATTAAAGGGACCATCTAGCCAAAAATACTCTTGTTCTTCAAGCTGGACATGGGAGTTACGTCCAAGCAGTTACCGTTGTGTTATGACAGGCCTGCACAATGCCTGTTTCCGCGGGCATTCTACACTCAAGCCCCGGACGTCTGCCCGCGAGAGCGGCGAAAGTGCAAGTAATGAATGTAGGCAGCTTTTCGGGGAGTGGAGCAGCCTGCTATTGCACTCGGAACGACGGGGCGCGCAGATTGAATGCCTGGGTTAAATAGTAAACAGGTTAAATAGGTTAAATGATTTGTTATTATAAATATAATGTAATCTTGTCACATATGCCGGATGGGACCTGCACAATTTTCATAAGCCCACTTCGTTCTATTCCCGAAAAAAATAGAGAAACATTTGGAGCCGTTTTTGAGAAAATATTTTTTTTTAATTGCCTCCATTCACGCAAAATTACACTTCTCACAATCTTGAAATATTGTTCATAACCTTATTTAAAGATCTTTCTTAGAAGAAGAGATAACATTAAGGAAAAATATCTACATATCTTCAATATTGTAGACGCCGAAAAAATTTTGATCTTTTGCAATTTTCAAAAATTTAGATTTCAACGAAAATAGATCTGTCAAATTTTAAACGTCCTTTGTTCTTTCCGAGAGAAAATGAAAAAGTTTGGAGCCATTTTTGAAGGGGAAAAATTGAAAATTTTTTAAAGATTTCATCACTCCATAAATTGAAATACTCTTTTCAAATCGCAGGGCTTCGAGGTCGATCATATAGAATGCAGGTTATCAATTTTGAGAAAATTGGCGTACGTGCTAGCGTTGACCAACTTTGCTGTACTTATCAAGGGACCACCAAACATAGATTCTGACTACACAAAGTGTTAGAGGAAATACATAAGAACAAGACTTAACCACTTTTTCTGTATCAGGGGGCCTACAATGGGTTTTTTATCTTCTTCTTCTGAAGAGAAATCGATTCTTTCTGCTGCAACATTTGTTCTTTACTACGAAAGTATGCAGTAAGCAAGAACGTTAAAAACAAAAGATCAGAAGGACTTCAGCCTTACATTGCGCATATAGCGTGTACCGAAACATTAAGATAACTATTTTTCATGTCTCGTTCCGCCATTTCAGTTTCCTTACTCCAACAGATGCTTTGGTCGTTTATATATACTACTTAGCCCGTTGATCAGGTTCGTATGAAGCGAATTAACAAAGAAACAACTTGTGATTCTGATTTTAAAGCATCAACAAAATTAAATGAAACAGCAATGAAAACATTAAGATTTTTTTCTTTCTCCAGAATACGATATTTATATTTCTTCCCAAATTTGCCACGTCCTACGCTTTCTGGGTGAATAGTTCCTCAGATTCAAGCTTGTTACCGTGTAGTTTTATCCGCTGGCCTTCAAAGGAACAAGTGGGTAGCATTGACATTTGGAATTTGAACAAGCTCATACTGCAACCGCAGCGAGATCTACCGGTACGCCGTCTCCGTACCTACGGTATACTCTCTGGTTGACGCGGCAAGGTACATTTCGTTGTACCAAATTTAAGATAAATGCTATCCGTCAATCAGTGAGAACCACATATCACAGGAATGCCCCTAATGGGATACTACATAAAACTGTTTATGACAGATAATGTGATTGTAACGTTAAAAAAATGGCATATTTTCTGCACGTAGTAAAACGAAATGAAATCCCGACAGCATGATTGGCTCCCATTACAATTATTTTCTTTTCATTTTCATTTAAGTCATTTTCCTGTTGCTAACATTGATTTTAAAACATCAATTTACTTTAAGTAGTAGAGTCAATATGTGAACATAGTTTTGACCATTTCCAAAAGTGAATCAAAATTCTTATTTTCAAATAATACTTGTAGTAAAAATATATTCTTGACACTTTTTTTTTAGTAACTTGCTGTACCACAGTCTTAATACAGTTACATGAATTAAATAAAAACAATTTTTTTTGTGTCCTTTATTTTACATCCGGTTCAATTTTTAGTCATTGAAATTGGTATGAGCAATATTTTCATATTTAATTAATAAAATCCCTTACTTGACAATGTTTTTATTAACATTTCATTAACTTTTTATATTCATTTTTACTAAAAAATGCTACATGTTGCAGTGACTGGGAAATGTTTAATTACTTTGAAATTAGCATACTACTTAAAACTCTCATGTAAGTCATGGGACACACTGCACACAGTGGATGAATTCTACGCATTTCACATCATAATAATGGGATACCAATATTAATAATGTTAAATCCATCAACAAAACCAATAATTCTACATATGTGCTGATGCTATTCATTCCATTCCATTCCATTCATTTATTCACTCACTCATTCACTCCAGTCATGTGTATCTGTGAAATAGTCTTCAATAATAAAGAAAGGGTTGAAAATTAATTTTAAATGTTAGTAAGTTCAACAATACCAACCATGAAATCAGGGGGAGGATTACAAAATTGTATGAAAATAGAGAATCACTAGTAGCAGAGATTCTAAGCTTCCAAATAAGTTTCGAGGGAGCCTCAAGCCACATCGTCTTGCAATTTTGCATCATTATTAAATTGATTTCACTCACCTTCACATTGTTGGCCTTCTGATGCCACTTCCCCAATGCTCTGCCTTATTTTATTGTAGATATCTGGCTCTTTGACTCCTTAAAATTCTTCTTTATATCTGATGCTCCAAATTTCTCTGTTGAATAAGATATGAAATTAAAGTAAATCTCTTTTAGTTTTCAACTATGAAATCATATAATTAGCCTTTTTAAATAAGTATAAAGTAACTTTGGCAAACAATTGCTCCCAAATTGCTATACAAAAGTAACAGAAGAATAAAAATTGCATAAAGAATTAGAAAAGAAAAAATAAAAATTTGTGAACACAACAAATTTACAAAAATTTATTGAACTGCAAGGAGTGTGAATGCTGATTTTTTGAAAAGAACAAAGTGCAAAAAACATCAGAATAGAAAGAGGTCATATTAATTACTTTGGTTTTTCAGTGTACAATGTTTTTACCATTTTGAGCTCTTCTTAACAAGATTAAAAGGATGTGAAATTCAGATATATTAGGCATTACAAGTAGTGGGATGTGAGATATTTAATGAGTTAATGGCAAGAGATTATAATAATAGAGGTCATTTACGTATTTAACTAGTTTTATATTATTATGCTTATATAGAAAATATTCTGATAACTGTACAACAGTTGGCTCATGAGAGTAGTTATTATTTAAATTAGTCTTAATATTCTTTCATGTCTTTTCTTTTATTATGTATTGCGTTATTGCTTGTTGTATATTCTCAACAACAAAAAAAAAAAAATACATTGCATCAATTCAAATCTGAATAATTTGCAATTTTTATGAATTCAAAATGAATACATTTTCATGTTCTCATACTGATATTTTCTTTGCTGTGAGAACAAGAGAGAAAGCGAAATCAGAATAATTGAGCAATTACAGTGCAGAACTTTCTCTAATTCAATCCTGAAAAATGTAAGTTTCAGTTCAGTGAATATTAAATTTGTTCATTAACTCTTCACGAGCCCCTGGCTGAACGGATAAAAGGCAATGACCTACTGTGATATTCCATGACAAAAGACAAAATTTAACAGAGGATTACTTCAGATCTATATATGCACATGGTGAAGAGCTGTAGTTGGAGAAAACAGAAAAAGATTAAAAAAAAAAAAAAATCAAATCACGTTGAGGTTGGTAGCATATGGTGATGAGGATGAAGTGAAAGGGAGTGTGGTCATCAGGGCACTACCAGGTAGCCATCTTAAGGCACCACTATGACCACCTTCCCTCTCTACATAAGATGCCACTCTGATGAAATCTCTGACGTCTAGATATGGCTCCCTGTGAATAGAGGTGGAACAATCAATGCCAACCAAAAATGGCATCTTGCATTGAAGGGTTCATATTAATAGTGGACTCTAATGTGAGTGCAAGGTACTGGTGTATCTAGAATGAAGGGTTTAGGTTTGAATCCCAGAAACATTTGTGTCCTCACATACATATCATCTTGTATCACATGAAATCATTCCTTTATATTACTAGCATCAGAATGAAATTATCACAATGATAACAAGATGAATTTATTGAGCTATGGTGAAACAAGAAGCATTACAAGCAGGAGAACCAAAAGAAAATTTGCCAGAAATCTCATTGCCCACAAATTTCACATGGATTTATTGGGATTTGAACCAAGTCCCTGAGATGGCAATTACCTACCTACACACCACTGATCCCCATCCAGATCATCTTGGAAGTTCATTATGAATATTCATGCATCGCTGATGCAACAATTTCCGGATGTCTAATTTCTATGGACTATATTTAAAACACTTTAAAACATATTATGGTTAAGAGTTTCAGACTATTTGGAATGATAAATGATATATTAAGAGTCTGATCATAAGAGCGAGAGATACAGGTGAAATGTAGCCAGCACATAACCTTCTTTTTGCTGATATTCTCAATGTTCATAAGCATTTTACTCATAATAGAAAGTGTATCACATTCTGCTTGAGTGAAAATCCCCTTGACCATCATGAATTGGAAACTCAAACAACTCAATCTGGACTTTAGATAATTGGGTTCACATACCAGTCACTAACCCAAGAAGGTTTCAAACACCCATTTTTCAATTTATTTAGTTAATGAACATAAAATCTAATTTATTGAAATATCACATTGTAATTATTATAATTTTTCTTATGGAACAGATAGGTCTTGTTTCTATTTTCTTTCTCAAAATTTGGGGGTTAATGATCTCACACACTTTTATAACATTCATTAGTTCAGTTTAACTGCTGAAGGAAGTGCTGAACTAAAGTCCATACATTAATGTGAAAATTGCATAATTTATTTTATTAATCTCTATTACACTATTCAGGGCAATTTACTGGGGGATACTAGAAATAGGTGTTCAGTCATTAGTACGAAGAGGATTTTCATACCCTAAAAAACTTGAAATATGCTTTCAAAAAAATGCATGATGTTTTTCAAATCATCATCATGAACTGCAGGAATTTAGTATGATCATCTTCCTGTTTGTGGTGGTTCAGTAGACCTAGTAGATTAATCTTCTAGGCGATCCCGATTTTTCCATCTCTTTAAAGGTCTTCTAATGTTTCCATTTCCAATTGGATTATATTTCCAGATGAATTTTGGTTGTCTGATACTTTCCATTCTGCAAATGTGTTCTTTCCATCCCTTTTTTGATACCACCTCTAGAAAAGAAAAATAATCAAGCTGTGACAATCTCTTTCTAATCAGTGAATGCTCATAAATAAATGGATTCTATGAAAACAAGAAACGTTATCCAAATTGTCTCTATTTTCACGGAATATGCAAAATATGCTCCTATAATTACAGGAACATGTACCAACAGGAGAAATTGGCCAAATATGCACTAAAATATTAATCTACATTGCATCCAATTCTAACCAAATGTCAAAAAATTTCACTAACAACAGAAAAAAATATGCAAAATCTTTAGAAATCCACTCCATAGTCATTAGTAAAGAATGAACTTATGATGGCATCAATAAAAATGAACAAGACATGCAAAGAATTCCACATAACTAGCTAGTCTGATCTGGAATTTTAAAAGCAGCAAGATCAAATTCCATATACACTTGGAAGAAATTAGTTTTTAATTGGCTACTGCCTGCTTAAACATACCTTAAATGTAAATGTGCATTGTTAGTAAAGAAAATTATTATAAATTATATAAGACGTGCACCATGTACATAAAAATAGCTAATTATCATGATTAAATTGTTTGAAAATGTCTTTGATTGTAGGCAATTTTTGTAAAATGTCCCTAAATTTGAAGTTAGAAGGAGGCAAACCTAATCACTGATCATAGTAATTCTAATTAATTGCAAATCATCTCAGACTTATAATCTGAGATGGTAAACATGCATTATCTTGGGTAATGACAGGGAAGGAGGAAATTTGAAAACTCTGGGTAATTGAATATTGAGGGGTCGATGTGTTGGAAAGAATTAACCAATAAATCAGTTAAGAAAAAAATGTGTAATTATAATATTATGATTACAAAGTGATATTAAATAACTCACATTAATGAATACATATTACTATTTTAACAGCAGAGATACTTTTATTTCGTTTTTAATTTAGTATTTCTTTTCTAATTTCTGCAATTTCCTGTGACCAATTCAAAATTAATTCCTGTATCAATATATTAAATCATTCAAAGAACCAGGTTTAAGTCCAGTCACTGACATTTTTTTTTCTTTTCAATTCATTCATACATTTATTTAATAATTTCCATTATGAAACAATCCCTAAATGATCAGATCCCTGGAAAATGGAGATCCCACTGTATTTTGTGAATCACGCTGATTTTTCAAAGTAGCGCAGTAATAACTCATTATTACTTTATTTTTCATATTTTAATTATGACATCAATACACCCATAATTATTAAGAAATTTATATTCAAAAGAAAATCAATTTATAAAGGCTAATAGAGTGTGCTTGTATATTAAAAATTCCTTTGAATGAATTATTTTCAGGCCAGCTTGGTAGCACAAGATATTGCGCTCTTCAGACAATTATTCTCCCTACAAGAAGCAATTCTGGAGATGAGAGAGCAATCTGAATTGTCCAGTTGCAGTTCTGATGAGTCCTCACCATGCTCCACTCTTTCTAGCTCCAGCTCCCTCACAAATTTAGGAGCACTTTCCAAAGTAAGACCTTTTTTTTTTTTGTGTGTATAATATTAGAACATTTTCTGAATGAGGGGAAATTAGAAAAGTTGGGATAAATTCAAGAAATAATAAGTTTGGGTTTTTCAAACTTATAGTATTTGAAGTACTACTATACTCCAGCTTAGATATAATTTACAGCATAAGACTTCTTATACTTGTTCATAAGTTGAATTTACATCTGTAGAAATTTTTATTTACTATATTAATCATATCTAGTCATAAATACAAAAGTACTTTTGTATCATTTGATTTATTCTTTACAATTCATTTCATTAATTTGGTAAAGACTATTACTGTTTTTTAAAAATTATGTATTTCTTGTTCCAGCATTCTTCAAGTTTTGTGCGACACCATGTGTCTTACCCACCTATTGCTAGGAATCGCTCGTATCGCATAAAATCCAGTGCTCCTCAGCACGGCTGTCAAGATTCCTATGATTCAGGGATCCATACATCAGACCATGAGATATTTGTGTAAATAGAGACCAGTGATAAATACAAGACTGTTTTTTCATACATAGTTTTAATATAAAGATATGTCTTGTACATTTAAATAGATAACTGATCAAATATAAATTAGGGAATGATTGTGTCACTCCCAGAAAATGTTACAGTCTTATCATGTTTTAAGTCTCCCAACTACTACTTTACAAACATATGTTACCGTGTATATAATACAAGAACAGAATATAAAAAAGAACACTGCAGGAAGAAGAAACTTATTTGATTAAAGAGACAAATGTACATAATGTACATATTATGTACATAAAAATAGCACTAATACATTTTGTACCCAGTTTTAGTGAAATATTAACTGATGAAAGGAATTACTAGTAACTTCCCATTAAGGATAAGTTAGCTCAAATACAAATATGTCTTAAAACCATTTTCTAGGACAACAACATTACATAAAACTCATTAGGATTTTTACACCCAAAATGTGATTTAATTGTACCTGTAACACCGAAAAATAATGTTAATAAATTGGAAATTATATGAGAGTTCCTAGATAATGTGTATTTTTTTATATAACCCAACATATATCCAAAAAATATGTATTTGTACAAAAAGTAAATTTCTTTTACTTTTGGGTTCACATTTTTTTATGCTTATGATATTATTCATGAATAAAATTTAAAAGAGAAAAGTTGATGCATAAGTTTATGTTAACAAAATCAATGCAATATATTAATCAATACCAAACAAAATGAACCAATTACTCATTTTACTTCTTGTCCATCTTCTATTGTTTTACTTCTAAAGACATAACATTACCTGTCATAATGATTCCAAGAAATAAAGTTGTTTATAAAATTGAAAATAATTACTTCACATTACAATTTTTCTAGCACACTAATTTATGGAAACATATTCTAAGGAGATGTCATGGACAAAAATGAAGAGTCAGATAAAAAATCATTTTCTAATACAGTTCTTTACTTTCAAATTTCCTTTGAGTAGGATGTTCCTGTTAGTACAATTGTATCCCAATATTTCATGAAATATCATTCACAATACATTTTTAGAGGTTGTATGTACAATTTGGCTCATTTTCAAAATTAATTTGAAATTATGACCTCATATAACAAAATATTGAAATTATAAGAGAATACAAACACAAAACTTTGGCACTTCAATCTTGAACAAAATCATGAATAATATTTAGAACTATTTTTATGAAAGTACGTATAACAATCTATAAAATGACTCCAAGAACTACATTATAAACTGAAAGGAAAAGTATACACCAGTATAATAAAGCCTCCAGTATAACAAACTTAACCGATACAAACATTAATTTGTTCAAATTCTTTAGCTTTTCTACATGAAATCTAAGGCACAAGTTAAAACACAACTTCCATCATTACGTAACCCGAGACTTAAGGAGCAATTAGGCACTATAAAAATGAAAACTGTTTATTTAACATTCTTAACAGGTATTAAGAATTAAGTGGTGAACTTTCTTCAAAATCATGCTCAAATTGAACATCTTTTGCTTTCCTTTGAGCACTTTTCACTTACAAGTTAACTGAGTAGAGAGACAATTGATCCATCACTGAAGTATATCTCCTAGAAGTCCTAAAGTACACTAGATAAGATCAGTGTGCTTTCTATTCGGTAATTGTTGCATGTTACTTCAAAATGACATGCTTGGAACATTGAATTTAGGAACTTTACAGAGCACTTTCATCAATTTCGATTTTGCATTTTAAGTCGCTGTTTCTTCAGAAGATCCCCTAATGTTGATGTATTACCGGGTGTATCTGGAAAAGTACATTTTACAAGATAAATTATCACAAATACCACACAGCAAAATCCAAAGTCTGATCACTAAAATTTACAAATATTTTGTCTTACCATCATAATCATCATCATCATCTTGTAATGATGCAGGATTTGGAGGTGGTGGTGGTGGAGGAGTAAATTTCTGTCTGCCAATTGATCCATGGGGAGGTGGAGCTGGTGATACGGAAGACGGAGCAGGTGGAGTTGGAGCACGAGGTGAAGGAGGGCGAGGAGATGGAGGATGAGGAGAAGGACGAGGAGAAGGAGGATGAAAAGCAGTAGGAGGCTGGGTTAATGTGGGAGGGGGAGATGCCTTTAAATTTCCAGAGGAAGGCTTCTCAGGTGGAGTTGGAGTTTCAACTTTGGAACGAACTTTGGCCAAAATAGCACGTAACTCTGAGGAGCGTGCTGTCTTGTACTGTAACAAAACGATTCTTTAATTTTTATTGCAGGGAAAAATTCAAATGAGTTTATATAGAGGAAAATATCAACTGATGAACAACAGAAGCAGAGACTTATAGTCTCACATACATTAATTTTTTTTTAAACTATTGACAAATGCAGTAGCAGTTAATCTGTAGTAATTTTTGTGTTACATACCCCAGACACATTCCTTTGTATTGTTAGTTGTGAATCCAGACGGCGACCCTCTCTAATTCCACAATATTTTTCTAGCTGTTCACGATTCAGATCAAATAACTCATTTCCACTCATTCCATTCAGTCTTTTGCATACACTAAAAAAGTTATAAAGATATTCATTAGTTCAGCAATGAAATGGAGAATATTTAAATGATGATTATTTAAATATTTGCTACAGGTATATTCAATTATTTTAATGTCCATATTTTCACCAACAGATAAATCCCATAAGCCCTTAAAATTTTGGAAAAAGATAGATTAGAGATGCAACAAGAAACAAGAACAAAACAGGTTTTTCTTTTAGACACAAATACTATGAGATGAGATGAGATAATACAAGAAATAAACAACAAAGTAAAGTACATAAAATTAAAGAGGGTGATATTTGGAAACAATAAGGAAAAAAAAAAGAGGAAGAGAGTGATGCTTATCTACATACAAGGTCATAAATTCTCGGCTATCTGGGAGACGCTGCGTCATTGGCTGGGAGGCCGACGTTGTGACTCGTCACTGCCCTGAGGAAGCCTGCGACATGTCAGGTGAAACGTTGACCTCCCAGCCAACGACACGGCATCTCCCGGATAGACGAGAATTCATGGATTCGAGCCACAGAAGCTTACGTGTACATACAAGGTCACAATTTATGATTCGAAGAAGATTGAAAAATATTTTCAGTGGTCTGATCCTAGGAAAATCACAGACACTGCAAAGAAAATATGAAATCATTACAATTGCCTCAAAAGTCCTATTTTTTTCACTAATTTGGTATACTTGGTTGAATGCAGAATTATCATTTAATATTTAATCTCATTCTTATACTTTTCTGTCTCTTTTTTTTGATAATCCATTTGTTTTGAAGTAAATTTAAATACAATGAGTTAAAACAAAAAGGGTATTATGAAAACAATTTAAAATGTGTAGGTAGTAACGATTTTTTAACAGACACTTTGCCCGAAAAAAGCAGAAAATAGATGTTCTGGCATCTTCAAAGTTTTTGAAAGAACTTAAATCATGAAACAAAATCACAACTCATAAGCATCCCATATGAAAGCAATTTGCCCACTGTAATCAAGTTTAGTTAGTTACGCACTCATCACTAAAGCCTTTGTCTTTAAGCCACTTTTTGACATCCTCTGGGCTGGATTGGGGATCAATATAAACTTCAGGTGTTCTGACAATATCCAAATTTCGACGCTTATTTCGAAACATTGTCAATACATTCTTCAATTCCTCTTGCATTTCAAGGTCAGTACTGCTAGTATCTAAATAAGAAGACATAATGCATACAGATTCAGTCACTTCAGTGCACACTTAAAATGTGATAATATAGAAAAGAAAGAAATAAAATTTTACTTACTTCTTGTAAGATTTGAATTACTCTTAGATCGAGTTAGCTTAGGAGAAGAGGGAGCAGAAATAGCTCCAGGAGCAGGAAGAGGTGGTGGCGGAGGAGCATTGGATCTAGATGTTACTGGCAGACCATCTTCATCTGAACTAAGATCTGGATCATCTACAAACATCAGATATTCATTTTCTTTATTTTAAGAGTGTTTTTGCCAACATTTAAATAAAATAAGTTCAAATACTTATACAACTTACAAAGGTAATTTTCAATGTCTTTTGTTAGATGTAGTCTTTAGCTCTACAATCTTAAATCAGAAGTAATATACAGGGACAAGATGAAATGTTTGATACAAAAATTAAGTTAGAGGGGAATAATCTTGGCAGGAAATGACAATTTATCAAGGTACTGAAGTTTGTTGCAACTAACTGCCACAGTATAATCTTGAAAGAAACAATCCAAGAAAAAATGCTAGGGTTGGGTAATACATCATGAAATGGAATCTTGAAAATACTCTTTGGACAACAGATAATGCTTTGGTTCATCCTGAACATTTTTGTTACATCATGTTGCAATGTTATAATCTAATTAAATTTCTGTTCTATTCCAAGTGTGCGCATGCACTTGTGTATGTACGTATGTTTGTGCATGTTTATTCATATTTAAATGAAGTTAAAAAATAATATTAATTATTTCATATTATAAATTTTCAATTTGAACATTTTTCTTTGCGTTCAGAGTATGACACACTTTTGTAACATGTGTTTTAAAATAAAATTGTTAGAACTGAAGAAAATTGCAAATCTACTGAAAATAACTTATGCAACATAATATATGTGGCAAAATCTTTTTATCATTCACTTCTCATTGACAAACACACTGCCATTCCAATGTCACAACCAATTAACTCTATAGAATAGTATACTATAATGCAAGACAACACAGGACCACACAGGACAGCACAGGACAACACAGGACAACACTCATCACAAGTGCACTAACTCTGAGCAGTTGTGCACATTGAGAGAGAAGAAACACATAAGCACTGTACACAGATTTATTTATTTGGACAAAATACACAATAGAACAGAGTTAACTATGTAAGTAATAAAACTCAAAAATATACATTCACCTTTGAAATAAAGAACTAAAATGTAATACAATTTTTGTTACATTTAACACCAGAATATACAAGATATAAACAACAAGTTTCTTTGGAATGTAATATAATGACTCAAAAATGATACTGCCATCCTTCAAATAAACACCCATTGTACAAGAAATACAAATGTGGTGATGTGATTAATTTTATCACTGTCACAATTTAGGCAGATGTTATATTAAAGAAATTGTGAAAAAAAGCATTGAAAGAGTAGACAGGAAAAATATGAAACGTGAAGATGTGAAAAACAAATGAAAAACAAAAACATTATAAACAAAAATAAGACAGACAAAATTACAACATACATGATCATTGGAAAACCTTGATTCCAAATCTTAACAAAATTAGTATTAAAATAATATGGTGCTGATTTTCTGAGTGTTCCAATGCAATTGAGTGTAGGGCCAGCACACACAACAATGACTACATTATATGAACCCAGAAAACAAACAAGAAAATTTCTAAGACATTAAAACTGAAATGTTGCAATACATCACCACACAGCACCACAAATACACTACATATGAATATTAAAATTCATTATATGTATATATATTTATAACATAATTATTCCCAGACTTTAACAGATCTTCCCACACACTTTTTGCTACAACAAACTGAAGAAAAGCTTTGTATATTGTTAATTAACATGTTTACATTAATAAATTTTCCCCCCAAATCACACACCTATTTGCAGTTTCAACTATGATTTATGATGTACCATACAGCCCGGAAATATTATTGTCCAAGAATAAATATAGTGTCCTCACCCATTATATCATGTAAACATCTAATACTGAATATGCATTTATCAATAAACTACTAAACGCAAATTAAAGAACAACTTGCAATGCAAGAAACTACAAAATAAATGCATACAAAATACTATGACAACATGACAATATTTTACACATGCTTGAAATTCAAGTTTGTTTCTATTTCAAAGACAACAATGGACATATTGTTGGTGAACTGATGGCACTTATTCCAACAAATGCAATCAAACGGGGTTAGCAGCATATAAAATAATAAGTACGATATGATATCTTCTTTCAAACTTGAATCTCTCTTAACACAAAAACCCACACCCATAACTACAAATTGGGGAAAACAGTCAATATGAACAAATACAAAGCTTCCCTCATAAACTTTAAATAAAAATAATTCTCTCAGGAAACCACACTTTCACAGATAGTTGGCACTTGTGGTCATCGTAACATAATAGCACTGGGATATATTTCCTTGACCGTATCTGCCAGTCTCTTACTCACATTTTTTAAGATCCAATTCTCTGTAATAATAAGAACATTCTAAATACACTAACAAATTATGAAAGTGTGTTCTTTAAATGGACAATTTGATATTATAAGTTGAGGTAGGTATGTTTGTTAGAAGCATGGTGTGAATTTTTTTTTTGTTTGTCCATTTTAATAACTTCAATGATCGTTGTCAAAAAACTTGTAAGATCAACCACTTTAAATCATAAGGTGCATAGAATTTGAAAGGATTTAGTTTTAAATTATCCAACCTCAAAATAATAGAAATTATTTGTTCACCTCGTTGTGATTGAATCTTTTCTTAATATAAAAGTATATTTTTCCCCATATGCCACATCAGTCAATCACTACATCATATTAGTTAATCTGCAGTGAATATTATTCTTATAAAGACCCACCTAGGAAAGTAAAATTGTATTAGTTGGTACACAAACATGTACTTACAAACTTTTAAATTCAATATGTACATAAACAAAATATGCACCTTACAATTAATTACACATAATAATTATTCTGTCATCTCAAACAAAACCTTGTTTATTAGCTTGCCTTATTCAGCACTATTAATTGACACATTGTAGATCAAAATTATTAACTAATCAGTAAATCTTTAAGTAATAGTGACCTTCATGTTATTAAAGGGAAAATAGACCGATAACTATTTGTGTCTGTATGTATACATTTTGTATAAATTCACATTTCTCTAAACATTTCTGTAAAAAAACATCAAAGTAAACTTAATGCTTCAAAACAATTATTTATATAGTTTTAATCATTAGTCCAATAACACAGAACAATATTATTTGAGCTTAATTATCTATTTTTTGACTTGTATAATGCAAAATTGTGCTGTTATCAGATAGTACTTATACTTATTTTAGATTCATAATTAATACTGTAAATGTAGGTGGTATTAAAATAATAAGTGAAGAAAGCAAGTAAGATCAGTATTTCAACATTATGGCTTGTATATGTTTATTCTTTCATTTTGAAGACCTATAGGTAAAAAAATAGAATAAAATATTGCCTAGCATATAACCAGTAAAGTCAAGGACAAGAATGTTCAATACATCCTAACGTTCACAACACATTCACACACGAGACTTCAATTAAAATTGCAGCAATGCACAACTCAAATATTTGTGCATAATTCAATCAGAGGCCATTATATTTTAGGGTTCCCAAAGCTGACACAACAGGCAAACAAAAAAGGCCCACTTGCTTAAAAGTACCGGAATTCACCTTTCTTGCCCAGATGCTTCTTACGCACCCAATCAGCAGGTGCAGGGGGAGGGATAGGAGGAGAGCGTGTGGGGCGCCCATCTACAGTAGTGCCAGAATCACGAGGAGAGTCCTGAAAAAAAAGCACATGTGCAACCAAATTTAATTTGGTAAGAAATAACAGATTATATTCTGAGACAGATTATACTTTAAATATTTTGATATGTACAGTAAAGATTTCACGACTTTTCATGATAATTATATTCTCCCTCACATCATAAATTTATTTTTGGAAGATTATTGTTCTTGAAGTAAGGAGATTTACACCCAGAGTCTGTGCGTGTCTGGAGAGAAAATGTCAAAACTTCACAAATAAGCTCTTCAGACAATTTTAAGCATATTTTGTCTAATAAACTACTAGGATATTCCAAATGGTTGAGCTGCAATAAGCACTCAAAAGTTGGTTTGAAAAAAATGCTTTCTAAGTAAAAATTTGCTTTGCAGAAGCAAAGAAACACTCCAGAAACATGTAAATTGTTTATTATTTACAAAAGAAATGAATATTTTTGTTTAGAAAGAAAAATTAACCGAGAAATAAAAAAGTAGTTGAAATGTGTAAATTAGATGCTCTTTTATTTCCGAGTTAATTTTTCTTTCTGAACAAATATATTTATTTGTTTTCTACATAACAAATAATTTACTTGTTTCTGTAGTATTTCTATGGTTTTGCAATGCAAATTTTTGCCTACAAACCATTTTTTCAAACCAATTTTTGAGTGCTTATTGCAGCTCAACCATTCAGAATATCCCAGTAGTTTATTGGATCAAATATGCTTAAAATTATCTTAAGAGCTTATTTCCAAAGTTTCCGTGTTTCCTCCCTGGACATCCTGTGTATATAAACACTACATAATAATAGAAATGAGCATATAGAAAATAATAATTCAGCTGACAATTCAGACCAAATTTTAAATTTTAATTAATAATTTTGATTAATGAATAGAAATCACAATATACAACATATAATAAATCAATAACATATAACTAGTATATTTATAATAACCAAACGTGCAGATTAATTTAATTTTTTTTCAGTATTTTGCCAGAAACTGGATATTGGCGAGTATAAAATGGTGAGATGCCAAAATAGAATTTTGTGATAAGTGAGCAGTGAAGTGGGGACTGAAACAAGTCTTTTACAAAAACAAATTTTGATAAGTTCAAAATTCTGAGTACCTAATAATAAAATGAATCAGATGGTAATTCAGAATAATTTGCATATTCTTTTATTTATATTCCTCTCCATATTTCCATTCTTGTGTCTTAAGTACTATGAAGTTATAAAAAAATTATGAATAAAATTATGTGAAATGTCATTGCTATGCAACATATAATTAAGTAAGCAACATTATTATCTTTTAATCAGCAATTGTCTATTATTTGTTTTCTCAGTTTCTTGTCTTCTTTGACTTAAAAGTTAATTGTAGATATAAAGAAGTACTGTCAAACAATTCATTCACTATTAAATGTTAATTAGTTGTACATTTCACTAAAAACTTGAATTTATTCATCAAAAAGGAGAACCTTTACTCATGATATATTTCTTCCTCTTATCAATCATGCTGTATAAATACGTACTACTTTCCTTCGCCAAAATGTAAGACATCTACACGTTTAATTCTAATATTGGAATGCACTATTATCTTTCCCTACCCTATCTATGTCCTATCCTTTTGTATAATTCCTGTGTTTTCCAAATAGTACGCTAGCGCCACAGGATAGAACACAAATCTCCCTGCAAAAACCATTGCAGGTAACAGTAAATTTGATATTGTGTTTGCATAATAATTAGTAGTCAAGCTAACCAAGCATAAACAGGAGGAATCGCAATTTTAGCACTTTCTTAAAGATTGTCCTCCTCTAGGAGACACCACCTTAAAGTAACACTGACTGTACTGGCGAGGAGGTTTGTGTACTCTTTTGAAACTCAAGGCATATAAAGGTAGCATTGATTAAGGGTTGGAGAATTGATCAATGATACTACTGGTAGGGTCACCCATGCTGTACAGTTCTCTGAGCAGGAGACAGGTGAAGGGCTATCTCAAAACAACCCACCAGTACTGCTTCATCACCTCTATCCAAATACCATCATGCCTTGTTCTAATGTCCCACCCTCTCCCCCACCAATGGCACCTAGCCATTAAAGTGATCCCTTTGTGGTATTGTAAGTTAGAAAGTGGATTATTCATTTAAGTGGTATTCTTCCGTAGTGCCATACTCCTTTATTCTTTCCTATTAGACCGATCTTGGACACTCTGTGTTTTTGACCCCAATGCCATTAGGTAGCAAGTACTAGGGAGTCATTATTTTTTCCCTTCTTCCTCTCATTATTCTATTCACTACTTTCTTCCTTCCTCTTTATTTTCTATCTCTGTATGCTCTTCTTCTTTTCTTATTTCAACCTGCTGCCTTGCAGAAGGGGGCAAGAGCCTGATATGGTAAGGGAAGGAAAATTCTGAAACGAAACTATGGGCAGAGAGGACCCAGAAAGGCATAGTGAAGCCAATCTTTCTAGGGGAGACCCCCCCCGCCAAAAAAAAAAATAAATTAAAAAAAATAAAGGCCAGCCAGGTTGGAGGTTGGACTAAGAGGCAACACACTATTCCCATAAAAATCATAAACAAGTTACAAACTTCAAGCAACCTTTACCAGACCCAACTGAAGACAACTTAAGCACAAAACTAGACAATCTAAACGGTGACATGGAATGTATTAGCAAAAAGGGGAGGGTATTAACACAAAGTGTGAAGTATTCAGTCAATTGAAAAAATTAAATATAGACATTTTTTCGCTAACTGAAACTAAGAAGAAAGGAAGAGGAATTTAAGATTACAGCAAATATATCCATATTTGTAGTGGTGTAAACAAAGAAAACAGGGCTAAATGTGGAGAATCAGTAGCAATCCACAAAGTGTTTAGAAAAAACAGAAGAACCTGGAATGAGTGACTGCTAACAGTAGAGTTAGATATATTTAGTCATACTTTGGTAATTGAATCAGGATATGCACCAAATGAAGATGTAACAGGATCTTTAAAAGCTTTATTTGAAGACGAGTCTGTGGCAATTTTTAGATTTATTTAGTCAAAAAAAAACAGTAAAAACTATATTTGACTTGTGGGGGAGAAGATCATCTGTGCATGTTTTCTAGAGTTCCAGAATTAAACTATAAATAGAGGAAAGATGAGTAAAAGTTAAAGATAAATAAATAAATAAAAACAAAATTTAAAAAAGTGCAAGATTAGCAGCATTTGAAAAACTAGACATTTTTGTTTAAGCCGTAGAAAAATTATTTGCAACGGTAAACAAACTACAGATTTGATTTTTCTGTATAGCTAACAATAATAGTAACTCTCTCTTCTCTCTACTGCTACCACTACATGCAGAAGGTGAGTTCAACGAAACGTGCGCATAGCAAAGCTACATTAACATTCAGAAGTGAAACAAGGGGCCATCTCAGCATTTGCTCAATGTATCAGGGAAACTGGCCAAAAACCTGATTGAGATTGGTCATTGATCCAGAAGCTGAAGTACATTATTTGTTACAAGCATATTAAGTCTTTTAAAAAAAATTACACAATACAAATGTAAACTAATTCATTATATATCGTTCGTTACTATATCACTGTTTTGTTAAAATAAAAATTATTTTTCTTGTTGATGATCAGTATAGTCTCTAATTGTATATAAAGAGTTATGCAGCAGAAATGATTTCACTTTTAACTTTAATTTGTGTACAGACTTCAATTGTTTAATGTCATCTGGCAATGCGTTGTAAAGTAACGTACATGTTTTGTATGTGGATTTCTGCAAGTGAAATCTTGACACTGACACTTGATAAATGTGATTTCTACAATGTGGCTTGTAATTATAAATATCAGTATTGCATGAAAACATGTTCCCAACGTAAAGTAAGTCAGTTTTGACAAATATTACAGATTTGTAAATAAATAGGCAAGGCAATACTAAGATTCCAAGCCCAATGAAGATAGGCATCAAGTGGATGGCATTTTTTTATCATTTGAATTATTCTCTTCTGCAATCTAAAGGTCTGAGTACTACATGATGAGCTCCCCCAGAATATTATGCCACATCTCAGGTGGCAATGCACATTTCCAAAATACATGCAATGACCTCCATGAAGGCTGGCAGAATTTGAAAGAATTTTGAATGCGCAACATAATGAACTTAATTTAGTGTTTAATTCTGTTATATGTAGACTCCATTAGAGGTTTGACTAAATTGAGAGACCTAAAAATGTTGTTACCTTAACATCAGCTAATTGCATATTGTTCATTTCCAATGGGGCATGCGATTGCTGTTTTGAAATGCAAAAATGCATTGAAACAGCTTTTCCTTTGTTAACTATTAATTTGTAATTACAAAACCAATTTGAAACCTCTGAAATTGTATTATTTATTGTTTCTTTTTTGCAACAAACATTTGTGTCATCAGCAAATGGAACCATTCTTCCATTTTTAATAGATGAGGGCATATCATTTATGAATAACAGAAAGAGGATTTGACCTAAGATCAAACTTCACGGGACCCCATACTCCATGGGTAAAGAAAACATCCCAATATTAGAAGACATTCCTTCAAAGAATTAAATTCTATTAATGGATTGACCTAAATGAGCGAACAGGAAGTAAACAGAATGATAATATAGTAGGTAAATATGAAGAACAAGTATGTAATAAAAATAGAGATATTAATATATTTGTGTAGTCGGATGGAACTTAAAATCGTGAATGGGTTCAATAGACAAAAAGATTTCCATAATTATATGAAGACACAACCTACCATGAATATTAAGTCAATAATTGATTATGTTGTTTTAAGACATAGTACTCAACAAAATGTTAAGACTAAAAGTATTAAGAAGAGCATAATAGAGGCAACTACTACATAGTTAAAGCACTTATTTATATTTTACACAAACCTAACTTCCAAAAGATCATAATAGCAGAAACTCATACTCCATGTAACATAAAAATATATCAGTTGAATAGCTTACAAAATGACTACCAGTTTCCTATATAAATTTAGATTGGCAAATAAATTGCGAAGAAAGGCAAATCAGCCAGCGAAAGAATTATATAAACAAATATAAATAGTAATCCACAAAGCAGTGATTGAAGAATTAGGTGAAAAGCCCAATAAAAAGAAAGAAAAACATACTTGTAGAATGAAGAGTTGAAGCAAATGATTGAAGAGAAAAAATGTGAAATATAAAAACGGCTAAGCTCAGGAGATTCCAAAGATAGAACAGCATATAGTAATATCAATAAAAATGGTAGGCAGTAAAATGAAATAGCAGTAACAAAAGCTAAAAAAGGCTTGGGAAACTAAATGCTCTGAAATAATAATAGGTCTAGAGAACAATAGGTCTAAAGAAGCACAGCAAACAATAAAAGAACAGAAAACTGATGTATCATGTATGTCCAGTATATTCTCAAGAACTTCTGAGAGAGAATAGAGCAGAATGCAAGTCCACCAGTTATAATGCAGATAACTTACAAATATATGAAGACATCTCAAAAATAACTAAAAGAATTAAATAACTCTCGGAGAGGGATGAAAAAATAATAGATTCCCAAGACCAAGAGGGATACTGGTTGAACTGTTAAAACACTCTCCAGACCAAACGAAATAAATTATTGTAAAGCTATTTAACGGGAGTGCCCACATAGGTACTCACGCCAGTGCCTACAATATCTCTCTCAGTTATGTAGGTGCAATGTTTTTTGAATACCAATGATCTGAAGCTCTATTTACTGAAATACATATTTTGCTCAGTTTGTACATGTCCCCAATGAAATTGTTAAGGAATCCTACACTGCAGAAAACTTGTCTGAATATTTATGGTGAGAAAGGTTAAAATTGACATAGACAAAAATAGTATATTCCAGTATAAATATTTCATTCACTGTATTGTGTATTGTGTATTGTGTATTGTGTATTGTGTATTGTGTATTGTGTATTGTGTATTGTGTATTGTGCATTGTGCATTGTGCATTGTGCATTGTGCATTGTGTATTGTGCATTGTGCATTGTGTATTGTGTATTGTGTATCGTGTATTGTGTATCGTGTATCGTGTATCGTGTATCGTGTATCGTGTATTGTGTATCGTGTATCGTGTATCGTGTATCGTGTATCGTGTATCGTGTATTATTATTATTATTATTATTATTATTATTATTATTATTATTACTGTTTGGAGTGTAATGTTTCCATGCATTAGCATATAAACAATAACCATTTTCCCTCCATATCCACATACACATTTGAAACCTATTTTAGCTTGTATGTACACACTCCCTTTCTGTGATCAACTGCCTGTCAGGACACTTGTTACGGTTTAAAATCCACTGGGATCAAGCCTACTCGTCTCTAAAAATGTCTGTACTGCAGGAGTGCAGAAAAAATAACTGTGGCTAATGGGTTAACTATAACATTGATTACATGTTTTGATTCTTAAAATCAAAATACTGTGTCTAATTTTAAACACAAAAAAATAGAATCACTGTAAAATAATATTGGAGAGGCATATGAAATACACATTTTTTAAAAATTGCTGCTCTAGTTATTTCAATATAAAATACAGTAATCACAAATTGTTTTCTTCACAATTTACATGATACTAATGAATGATCAACAAATTATGAAATTAGTGAATGAACTTTCTGAATGAAATTAACTTAAAATAAAAAGTAAAAATGGCTTTGCAAGATAAAATGGACTTAAAAATAAAAAATAATTTTGAACATACTACATTTCACCTTTTGTTTTGGAAATAACATTACATTACAAATTGTTTGTCCTATAAAGAGATAACCAAAGTTAAAGACCTTTCGTGGCTTTGGTGGGAAGAAATATACTGTTCTCTTCTTGCAAATCTCTCTTTACTTCCAAGAAGAAAAATAAAATAAACTACTTTGTCATTTTCAAAGATTCAAAGGATTTAATTAAAATTAACCTTAGCCATATGATCCAATGTATTTTCCTCTATCAGTAAAAAAGTTTAAAGAATGGTTATAGAACCATTGGAAAATTATTTGGGAAAATCTTGTGTACTTATTTTTGGAAAATTAATGATAATTTTATTCAAAGTAATGTGAAAGCTCCTAATCCCTCCCCCTCATTCTAAAACTATGTGAAATCATTTAAAAAACTAATATTCATTGTATTAAAAAAATTAAATGTGACCTACATATATCAATGATTCTACCACCCACTGTGTCCCAATTTCCGTGTTCACCATGTCCTCACTCATCAAGGCAAAATCTCTGATGTGCAATTGCCACAAGGATGGATGTCTCCAATATATCAAATGAGAAGGGGAGATCAAAACAAGTGCTTACAATAAACACACACACACGCACACACACACACACGCACACACACACACACGCACACACACACACACGCATACACACACACACGCATACACACACACATACACACACACACACACACGCATACACACACACGCATACACACACACACGTGCATACACACACACGTGCATACACACACACACGCACACGCATACACACACACACGCACACGCATACACACACACGCACGCACACGACACACGCACACACAACGCACCACGCGCAGCGCGCAACACACACGCCCCCCACGATACACACACACGCGCACGCACACCACACACACGCGACAGCACACACCGCCGCACCACGCACGCCACAACACACGCACAACACACACGCACACACACACGCACGCACAACACGACCACACGACACACACCACGCCCCGCACACCACGCACACGCCACACACGCGCTCGCACACACACCACGCACACACGCAACACACGCGCACACACACACACGCCACACACAGCACACCACGCACAATCACACACACACGCACACACACCGACCCGACGCACACACTACTACATCGCACTAGCAACTACACACCAACACACCACGCACACAACACGCGCCGAGCACCACTACCCGCCCACGCACACACACACACACGCGGCGACACGCACACACACACACCACACGCACACGCACACACACATACACGCACACACACACACACGCACACACACACACACACACACGCACACACACACGCACACACACACATGCATGGTGTGATTATTTTGGTCCCTTTAAAATCAGGTTAATGAGTGTCTGTAGTATCTCAGTGGATATTTTGTTTAATACACACATTTCATACACTCTATGTGAAGTATATAGATAGCATTGTAATGTTGCCGGTAAAGTGCTGATTTGTTGTCAGAGCAAGTTTTATCCCTGATGACCAAAAAATTGACTTTTCTTTACTTATACCCAGTACGCTCAAATTCAACAGCTTACAAGTCAGATGACAAAAGAATTTCTTTCTCAAAATGTCCATCTGTTCGTACACAACACTAGTGCCTAAACCAGGTCTAGCCAACCCTAATGATTTCATGAGCCATTTTGATGTGTAATAGCAGGATTGCATCTGGGCTATGGGCAAACCTAGTCTAGATTTTCATTCAGACACGTATTAGTTATTTTATCTCTAACTGCCTGCACAGAATACAAAGCAATGCTAATCATTAGAAATAACATTGCTTTCTAATATTGAGCCCAACTCAGGTATTGGAAGCACTTAAAATTATATTCTTCTTCTTTTTTGTATACATGTATTGATAAATAAAAGTTCCAATTTGTTGGTTTCCTGCAGCATTACATAACTTTCTCTATATGAAGTAAACCTGAATTTTAAAAAAAGGATGTAATTCAAAATTTTGAAATTTCCAGTTTTGTTCAATACTGAAAGATAAACTCTACAAACCTCACTAGAGATTACAAAGTAATTTATCCTTACATCATGTAATTTTATTATCTTAATGCAGCAAATGATACTGGATTCAGATAGTTTTGAGGTAATCAAGAAAATTTTTTTTCTGTGTTATGTTCTTCTTTCAGCTAATCCTTCAATATTTAATTAATTTCTTATATTTACTGAAAGAAGAAGTTCACCTAAAAATCTCTCACTGGATTACTCACTTCCCTTATGCCCAATGGAAAAATTATAATAACACACATGTATTTTAAAAATACAAATCATTCAATGTAAAGGTGATTTTGAAGAATAGTGAGATAATACATTCATTGAAGAAATTAATGATATTCTTAGCTAGAAACAAAATCTATCCACGTATGAAATAGAATATAGATGGCAATGGCATTAATGGCAGATTTTCCTACCTTGAAATATTTCCCTATACTAATAAAAATACTGAAAATTATTCAGAAAGATTTTTCAGTTAATGGAAAATTTTTTGCCAACATTGCTATTAATAGTACAGAAAGCATTATTATTTTACATTTTATCAAAATTTCTATTTCTATTTATCACCAACCTGGCCAGGATAATGACGATCATACCCACGTCCTGGGTGCAACGGTTCACTGAAAACATCACCAGGTTCACCACCTCCAGGTTGATATGGTGTTACAATAGTGTGTGGAACATGAGCTACATGTCCCCTACTATTACGAGCTTTCCACCACTTCCGACTGTCATCCACTACCTAAAAAATAACAAAAATTATACCTTGATTAATAATATGAAGGAGAAACATTTCAAGCAACTTCTTTAAAAAAATTCTGACACAAATTTAATTCTAGGGTAGTAGATATTTCATAATATACTTACTTCTAAATATTCTCCTCTGATTACAGTAAGCTCTTTGTCGTTGTTTGCTGTTCTGGGATAGGTGACTTGAACAATTTTTGCTCCTCTAGAACGTAACTCCTCAAGCCAGCGAGACTGTGCTCGCTCAAATCGTTGTTGGCTCTCTCCTCCTCCATTACGTTCAATGGAATCAGCCGAAATGTCGCTGCGGGCACTAATGTCACGAGAAGTCACTGGCACACTGCTCATTGGAGGCCCCAACGGGAAATCATGTTCAGACCCGCCAGGACTTTGTGACCGCTCCCTGTCACGAGACACCTCTTAACGAATGGTCTGAACACTTAGTACATGAAGGCTGGGGGCGTCAGAAAAATGGGGTGGTATGAATTCTGTTTACGATTGTGTTCTGGAATAAATGGCAGAAATGTCAAGGAGAAGAGGAATGTATGGAAAGGCTCATAACCCGTAAGTCCTGAATACCCCTTCAGAAAAAAATCAACACGGGCAAGAATCTGATCTTAAAGTAAACAAGTATAAAAATAGAAAAGCAAATGCTTTGGAAGAAGCAGAAAAGAAGAAGCAGAAAAGAAGAAGCAGAAAAGGAGAAGCAGAAAAGGAGAAGGAGAAGAAAAGGGAAAAAAGAAAGGTCAGGAAAAAGAAAGAAGAGGAAAAGAAAAGAAGGAAAATGGAAAAGGAAGGAAAAAGAATAAAGAGAAGAGATGGAAGGAAAGAGAAGTACATGGAAAGGAAAGAAGGAAAAATTGAGGGGAAGAAGAAAAAACAACAAGGAAGTGAAACATAAATGGAGAAGAGAAAAGGAGGGAGACAGAAGGAAATTGGAGAAATAATAGGAATGAAGAGTAAGAAGTAATAGAAAAAGAAGATAATACAGAAAGGAGAGAAAAAAAAGAGTGAGGAGGGGAAACAGGAATAGGTTACAAACACAGGAAAGGAAAGTGGAATAAGATTGAAAAGGATTCAGAATGTGAACAAGATAAATATAGAGGAATTAGCAAATAGTAAATACCACACATTTACTTGTTTTGATTACTTTAGGTTTTCATGCTTTAATATATTGCATCAAGACTTGGGTATTTGCTAATGCATGATATTTTCTGGTTAGTAAAACATAAATGCCATTACAAAATTAAAATGATATATTTTGATTCACTACAGGCTTTACGACTTCTTACTAAACCTTTACATCTAAAAAACAGTGAATCATATTTCTTAGAAGCATAATAATTATTAAGTTAATTAATCAAATTTGCAAACATCAAATTCATAGGCCTCAACCATCAGTCTTCTTAAACAGCTTCAAATAGTTTTTAACATACTATAAAAGATGCTAACATCTGATTGGAGGTTTTCTTTTCCTTAAGAAGGATCCACAAAACAAACAATTACTGCGGTTTTATTCACTTAAAATTTAGCATGCATTAGCAAATACAGATTTTTTGCAAAGCAATTTAATGTTACTCATATCTCCCATATTGTAGTTTATATTAAGGAATTTCCTAAAAAATAAATACAAAAATTTAAGAAATAAATAAATAAAAATAAAAAAGAACATATTTTCATTAATAAATATTACATACTTTCACTGATAAAGTAAGTGAAATATGCATTTATTTCCATGTAAGTATAACTAACATTTATGGGAGTATGAAGAGTGAGACAAACAGCAAAAATTATTTATTTGAGATGCACAGCCAGCTCACAATAAAATGATGATAAGCAAAATTAAATAATGTATGCTAACCAAGGCAAACCCAATGAAAAAAAGTATGAATAACAAGAATACTGTTAGCTAGCTCTTGTGCACAAATTTAAAAAAATAATTAATTCGCACTCTGAAGCATAATTCAATCTATAAATGCTTGTTAGGATGTAGGGAGAGAGGGGGTTGTTTATAATTGGATAGGACATATTCTGACGCCACCAACTTAAAACCAAGTAATGTGCTGTCATGTCCCACGTACAGTAACATGCAGCAGTGTTAATTCTCGGGAGCTTAAGAGGCATGCAACGTGCAGGGTGCGGCTAGTACAAAACATTCAATATTTCTACTCCTATCTCCTAAATAATCAGCATCATCTACTTTACGTAAACAACACTGATCAGGGAGATTCAAAGGCACCAATAAAATATGTTAATTAGTGAATAACTTTCGAATAAGCTTTTCTGTAACCCAATACCAATAGCAATTACTACAACATTTTATTATAATTTCCAATTTAATGCAATGAAATACATGCAAAAAATGTTAAAGTGTACATAGAAATCAAACATTTAAAAATTTAATCTTAAAATACGAGTTTTCAAAATGGCTCTACTTAAAAACAACCAAGTGTATTCAATTAATCTGCCCCATTCAAATAATATATCAACTAAGAAAATAGAATGTATTGTAATATTGTAAAAGTCTCAACAGAAACTATAAAATGAAATATCACAAAATGGCCTCAAATCAACCAACACTGATAAAATAAAATCCTTTTATCCTTTCCCATGGATTGCATAAAAAAAATATTGCCTAAAAGATATCGGTCTTGCCAAATGTACAATGCAACATACTGGTATGACCATTACTACCATTCACTGATGGCCTTGTTCCTGCAACTCAATAGATCTCTAATATCTTTTTTTTAGATTACAGTTACATTTATCCATTTTTCCTCATATTTTTTCAGTACTTTCTGTAGAGAATGACAGAAGTTGCTTCTTATTTTAGGGAAACAATGTTAATTTGCAATGGAGAATGGCAATTAATAACAGCAACAATTTCTAGAATTCTCAAGATATTTCATTGTCTGTTGGATGGCAAGGGCATCTAAGAATGATTTGCCAATTTCATTTGCTTTGGTTAGATAATAGAAAGTTATTCCTAAATTAAATAGAACTAAAGACTTTCTCTATCAATTTAATTTTTTTTTGATCTGAATACACATAGGATAGGGTTGAAGAAATCTTACCATAAATGCAAGCTCGCATGAATGAATGAATTAATGCATGAACTCTTTAAAAATATTTTCACTTGCAACAAAAATAGAAGATTTAAATTTTCTTCACAGATTATTAATAATCTAACCTTTCATCACGATACCGTTCAGGGCGACCTCCATGGTACCTTCCTCCATCAGGGGGAGAAGCTTCTTGCTGTTCGTAATCAAAATAATCACTGCTATAGTGAGAATCGTCTCGTTCAGGCTCACGGTGGTAATGTTGTTCAGGCAGGTCGGGCTAAACAAATTTAAGAAGACATTACATTAAAACTCTTGAACAAACCTTTCTTGAAATAAGTAAGCAAAGTTTTACTTCTACTTTCAGCAATAATTACTAATTCATACACTTTAGTTTTCTATCAGAAGTAAAGCAAAAAAATCTCATAATATAATATTCTACGATAGGCAACATGAAAGTAACGTTGGAAGAGAAACTTTTAGTTCTTCCAAGAATGATTGAAGATGGTTTGAATAAACAAAACTCAATGATATATACATAGCATAGTAAAGAAGAACAAGTCTTGTAAAAAAAAACAATTGTGATAAAGCACAGCTGATTTTTATTATTTACAAGTAAATACTCTAGTAAAACATTGCTGCAAAATATTAATTAATTAAATATTAAAACTTTTTAATTAACATAAAATAGTTATTTGTGCACCAAAGACGTTATAATGGTTGTAATGATCGTGCAGCAACAAAAAGCCTGAGGGCTTTTGGTTTAAGGGCTTTTTGTTGCCTGAGATGATTAAAACCAGTTAATGCCCATGGTACATACATGATTCTATTTTTTACCTAATTTTAATTATTCATATTTACTAATTAACTAGTTCTTAACAGGAGCTTCCAAACATCCTATATATATCATACTGTTACTGCAGCATTTATGAAGACCTTTTAGTGCTAAATGTACGCTATGAGAGGACATAAAACATCATTGAGCTCTATTCTTTTGTTTTTTCAAAAATTACATGAATGTAATTTTATTGAATAGCCTCTCACGTTGCCATTATTTACATTAACAGCAATTTTTTTACACTATTGCATTTGCAGGTAAATATTCTTTAAATAATGTCATACAAAGTTTCTCAAAAACTCGAAACTTTTCTACAAAAAGGAGCTCAAATTTCCGCTTCTTCAGAAACCTTTAAACGCCGTTTTCTCAAAACCAGCTCCAACTTTTTCTTCAAACTTTTCATATGGATAGCACTAATTGCACTGTTTAAGGTGACATAAAATTAATTTTGCTGTATTGTTTTGTTTCTTCACAAAATAAACAAATGTTTTGTTTTTTTTTAAATCTCTCACACCATTAATATGCACATTTCCATTGATTTATATACATTATTGCACTTGTGAGTGGAAGTGCTTCAAATGACTTCAAGTGAAGTTTATTGAAAACTCAAACAATTTCTGTGAAAAAGAGCTTCAAATTTCAAATTTACAGTAACGCATACACATCATTTTCTTAGAAACGGCTCCAAATTTTTGAATGAAAATTGCCATATAGGACAAGGTTTTACTCTTCTTTAATATTCTTAAAGTAATATTTCAGTTCTACTATTTGGAAACCAAAAAATATCAAAAAATAAAAAGTACTTTGGGTGATGATAGATGGGCACTGGCAAAATAAAATAGCTAGCCCAGACCGAAGATATTACAAAACTAAAACGAGAAACTCTGTGCCATTCTGTAGCATGACTAGTTTGAAAATCATTTTGTGTAATTTTGCAAGCCACTAGTGCCGATGAAGTAGCTAGAGTAATATATTTGTAGCAAGATTGATTATTTTAAAACCAGTGAACCCATTCACTCTAAATTAAGAAATAATATAAAATACAGGCAAGATAACCTCATGCCCAGCTCTCTTGTCCTCTGGAGGGGAAGGTAAAGCCAAAGGATCCTTCTCATCACCCACAGGAAATTCTGGTATCCAGCCATCAGTGAATTTTGGGTGATATGGGTCAACAAAATACTTCCACTGTTCCCTGCAAAGTAAAAAAAGAATTATGTCTTTTTAAGATATGCAAGAATCATAAAAAACAAGTAGTTAACAATATATAGGTATGAATTTTATAACTTCAGGATATATACATTCATAAATTTCACATATTAAGTTATGAAGGTTTCAATTATGAAATACTTATTGTATTCTTTGCAAAAGAATACTTGATTTGAAGTCTAACAAGAGAGAGCTAACAGGTCTATCCATCCACAAAACATCATTAACAGGGAAGTTATGTGGGAAGATACAAAGGAGTAAAGAAATTATAATGTCAATCACAACATTAGTAAACTAGCTGATCCGATGGCAGAGATCGCTAAGGCAGTAGTGCCGTAGCGAACTCGGACCGAAGGATCGCGGGTTCGAGTCCCGCCGCGGGCATGGTTGTATTGTTTCGTCCTTTCACCCCCTATCATCATCATTATCGTGTCAACCCACAGTTACCATACTGTTACAAGCAATAGTGGTCGCTAATGACCTAGAAGTTGATGCGACCTTAAATAACAAAAAAAAAAAAACATTAGTAAACTAATTAATATTAAAACAAAGTTATTCTTATTTTCTCAGTCATACCTTGGTATTAGCCATGGGTCTCCAAGAGACTGCCATAGTTCCGTTTCTTTGCTGGTCACACAGTTTATGAGCAAGTTTACAGCTTCTCTGGACAACAAAGGAGACACTACCTTTGCTGGCAGGTTTGGGCCATAGTGAGTGTCATGAGATGCATCCACAATAAGTGCCAGAGGTGTAAACAAGAAATGAACCAACTCCGGAGCATTTGGATCATGAATGTGAGCTTTCAATTTCGCCTGCAAAAGAAATATTTAACATTAGAAAATATCACAACAATTTTGTAACACAAGATAATATTGTGCTAGTTTTTATAAAGAAAACCATCTGAACATTTTGATATAACCAACACAATTAACACAAAAGATTTGAAGATATGAGATGACAAAATTAGTCCACAAGATAATTTAATAAAAGTCTTACACTAAAAAGAACTAATTACAAAATGTAGACAATGCGTCCCGTCACAATCTCTTCATATTTTACACATGACATAGGGGAGCATCTAAGCGCAAATTGGAATTCATATTCTGATGACACCAAACTACTGGATACCCTTTAACACACTACCAGGAGATACAAAATGACCTTAACAGAAATGGTAAGAGATCTGACACTTTGTTATTGGGTACCCCTGAATGGCAATAAATGTTCACAATTGAGTATTGTTAAAAACAACTAGATACCTCAATATCAAATGAAAGATGAATGAATGTAAATAACAAAACAATACATCTTCTTCACATTAGATCTCAAGTGGAGAAGACAGGATACAGTGATGACAAAGAGCTTGGTACGTAGTTAGAAAAGCTTTCTCTTAGTTCAAATCCTCCACACTCAAAAAATTGTTTGAGACTGGCATATTCTGGAGTATGTTGAGAGTGTTCTGAACACCATACAACATAAAAGATAAAAATCACCTTGAAAATATTTCAGAGGCAAGGTACCTATGGACAATAGCATGACTGAGATAAGATGTCAAAAACTATCACTGCAAGAAGCAGAATGACATTATCATTTCAATGCATATGGGTTATTCAAGAAATCACATCCGAAAGAACTAATAAACTGGAATTTAAATAATAAACTGTGTGGACAAAATAAGCAACTACAAAAAGACAGGACCATGATGGTCAGAGGGCATACCTTCAATTCAACAGGATAGTAAATCTGTGCAACTTCTCACCGATGGATTACATCATTAGCAGGACCTTAATTTCATTCAAGAATAATCTTGATAGATTTTGTCCTCTACAGACACTGGATTTTAATTAAAATTCTTCTGACCATATTTCTTTGGTATTTATTGTAATGTTTGTGAACATTGGAACTTAAATTTGATTTTATTTCTCCCTTCATATTTAAATTTCATAATATTAAGAGATATGTTTAAGTTACATGGTTGAGATGTATTTCTGATAAATGAACTATAGCACTGTTCATTAGGAAACAGATTTTCATGTAAATATATAAATATATATTTTACAGGAACAAAATATGTGCATTCAACAATATTTCTTTAGTTTACAATACATTTTGCAAGTATTAGAACCATTTCTATTTTACAGATTTTAGTATTATTACATATTTTACATTTTACCTATTACTACATATTTTGTTACATTTTAATATATTTCACCGTCAAACAAAATATTTCAGATGTGAGTTCGCAAATGTTACCACATAATTCTTGCAAAGCGATGCAATGCCCTTCTATGATTGCTGGACCTAAATAAATTATCAAAATTACTCCCCCCCACCCTGCTACTTTCTGATAGAGTGCACTAAGGATCAAGCATGAGTGGGTGTATGTGAAGTAGAAGAAATTTCAACCATGTGCTTGCTCATGCTTCATAGACCCCATGCGTAACTTGATAAAAACTAACAAATATTTTTAAAGATCACTGACTATCGTGTTGTTATCCCCCTCCCTCCTGATTCATCACAAAGTTACACGATACTACTTTTCACTTGAGCACTGACTCCTCATAAATAACATTGTATATACTACGAAAGTATTTTATATTTTGAACGAAACTACTGTACAAATACTTCTCTAGAGCTAGAACTTTCTTTCAGCCACTCTGAATCTATGTTAAAATCTTATTGACATTGTTCTGTGTTCAGAAAATGCTTATATTAATTATATATTTAGAAATTATAAAAAAAGTCAAATTTTAAACTTTACAATGAATTTTTATTTTACATATTTTCTATTTTTTCATATATTTTTGAAAAATAAATATGTATTTATTTTACTTTTATTTTGAAAAAATAAATATGTATATATTTTACTCTCTTATTACAATAAATTCAGTTCATACATAAATATAAGCTCTAGTTTAGTTACCTTGGAAGAATTTTATTAACAAACTAGAGCCACTATCCCAGCTGGGCAAAGTTACATATTATCCAGCTGTCGGATTTACTAATCACTTAATTTTCTTTAGAATTAAGCAAATTGTGAGAAATCTGTCACGAGTTTTACTCAAAATGCAGATGAAATTGCATGATTATAACTTTTCAATGAACATTTTATTTTTGTGGATTTGAATTCAAAATTGGTCCAACAACATATTTTAATAAACTGCAAAACATTAATAACACAACTTTATTTTATCAGATTTTCTTTTCATATCACCAGCACAGTATGCAATTTCATTCTCTGCATGAAGTGTAAAATTTGTCTTTTATAACACATTTCTGTACTATAACTACAAATATATTATTTTCAATTTTCTATTTAGCATCTAACTTAAAGAAGTTCTCTATTTGATACTTCAATTTCCTTAAGAATACTAATTATTTTTTGAGCTTCCAAAATGGATGAAATCATAAATAACATTAAATTGTAAATAAGATGCAAGTACCTCATATTCATACAAATGAAGACACAAATTCTTCATAAACTCCCCATTCACCTACCTACACTTGGGGGCTCATTTACCATTTATTTTGTTTCCTATATTTTTTAATAAACTTTTCACATAGAAAGCTCCTTTACTCTTTAATACATGCAAAGCATAATATTAAACCCCACTGAAAAAACAGTGGTATATTATTTGAGACCTGGACAACATCATGGTTGCACACCCTCTTGTTACTTTAAAAATAGAATTGTTAGTTTTTTTGTACAAATCATCTTGTAATTTAGGATCACATCTTCAATTTAAGCAGAATTGTTTGGTTAGAAATGATCATGTAATTGAGCAACTCCACACAATTCAAAAATTAGATAAAAGAGAATGATACAAAGAACTCATCTTAATTCATGCCAGACTTCATATTTCGCAAATGATTGTGTCAGCTCTACTTTGTTAGATATGATTTTTACATTGTTCTAGGATGTAATAAATTGTAACTGAAAAACTCTTTATTCAAAATTTCTTCACTACAATGTCTGCAAAATGCATTTTTAGAATGTGAGATACAGCAAAAAATTTCCATTTTCAACATAGCATTAAAACATTTCAAATAACATTCTAATTTCAATTAATGAAAGATTTAAGGTTCAGTTTCAGGTTTCGGTGACAAATTGTACGGTTCCAGTTCAGATTTTGAAACAGCTCCAAACGGTTTTCTATGTTTAAAAAGTTGTCCCTCTTTTTGTCACAATCTGATAAAACAAAACAATATCTTATCTTTTAGAGCCATGAATCTCAACCCTTTCATTTGCACAAGCCCAAGAATTGAAAAGGAATGTTTTTGACCCTTAATCCTAATCATGAAAAAACTATTTAGCTAGATTGATAAAATTGGACACGGGCAAGCATATATGAAATGTACAAACAAGCAACTCACAAGTTCCAACTTTATGGGAGTGTGATTTTTGCAATTTGGCCTGCTAGAATAATATTCACTATGAGAGCTACATGATCTAAAATGCATATGAATCTGTTTGAACACAATACGCTCTCAAGAGTATCAAAGAGGCATAAGAGATAGCAGACCATCAGTTCATTTTCAAATGTGAATTGTGTATATGGAGCTTTCAGTTAACTAAGGTTTTATATGTGAAGTTTCATTGAAAATAATAATGCTTATTAAATTTCTCTGGGTGCAGTCGAATGGTGAAACTGATTATTATATTTAATTAGATTCCAATGAAAAATGGAAAAATTTGAAGAAGAAAAATTGAACCACCTACATCCAGTGAATCTGTTGTTTCATTGTAGAACACCAGTTATTTAAATTACAGGCTTATTTCTTTGAATGTAAGTCAAGAGTTCATTGTTTCTATTGAAGTTTGATGAAAATAGAAGCTAAGGAAATAAATTCAAAACATGGAAACTAAACCCACAGTTCATAAAAGCGAACCCTTGGAATTTTTTCATAAGAAAATTACATACTTGAAGAAATAAACAAGCTTGTATTTGTAAATCAAGCCATACCAGTAAAAGTTCTTGAAGCATCTGCCCTCAATATCACATCGCAATCCATGATATCTGCCCTTCATATAATCGAAGAAAACAACATAGTGCTTACTGCAATTCATATTGACAAAGTTTTAAAAGAGAATGGAAGAAGAAGAAAAATTGGAAAGAAAATCTGCTTTGTAATAACATAATATCAAGGCGAATAGATGACATGGCTGATGATGTTCACAATCAGATATTTGCCAAGTAAAATCAAGTTCTGTCTAGGCGATAAATATGACTCAGTTCATATGATTTGTGAAATATGAATATGATAAGGGCAGATCAATCAACGAAAATGTTTTGGAAATCATTACCTGATCATGTCTTTTAGGGTTTTTTAAGAAGATAATAAAAACTATAACATAAAATGGACAAAAAGTATTGCAGCATGCTGCATCACAGAAGCAATAACAGGAAAGAAAAGAGGATTTCTAAAAAAATTAAAAGACAGTCTTACTCTAAGGGCAGAATGAATACACTTCCTCTCTTTGACAATATGTACAAAACATACATCGGAAAACACAAAATTCTTTGTGAAGCCATGAAATCGTCAATTTTTATTAGTGGTCAACTATAAGAGAATAAGCTGTTTGCCAAACTATAGGTTGAAACGAGCAAAAACAATTAATCTCTTCTTAACCATACAAATATCTAATAGTTAACATGGGAAAGTGTTAACACAGCTATTGGAATTGACAGATGAATTAAGAAATTTTTTCTACGATAAAAAATACCAATGTCAATATTTTTATGGAATAATGTGTTTATGTTCTCATTGCTTACTTACCTGGTGTATTTTAATGTCTTGAGTGTGTACATACAAGGACACGATAAAAATATTTTATTATTGACGAAGTCCATGCTTTCTTTAAGAAGCTTAATATCTGAATTATTGGCAAGCAGACAATGGATATTTGATTATGTTTCCACTAACTTCTAATTATATTGACAACAATTTAGATGAAGACACTATTATCCACTACGAACAGCATGAAGATGCATTTGGAAGAACTAAAAATGGTTGCAGTTTTGTTTTGCCCTTGCCGATAAACAGTCTTTAACATTTACAATTTCAATTTTCAATTGATGCCTCCATTTTCAATAATACTTTTGCTTAAGAAGATTTTGGAGAATGGCAACAAAAAAGGTAATTCTCATTGTAATATTATTTCAACAATTTACTTTACAAATTGTCTTTTATCTGTAAGCTTCTAAAAAAAAATTTAATTACATTTAAATATTGTAAAAAATAGAATAATTGATTAAAATCTTTTACAATTTAAGTAGCTGGACTTTCAAGAGCGATGATTCAAAACATCAGACTTTAAACAGAAAGGACATCCTCAATTCAAGACTTCTTGGCTGTCTCGGTGACGTCGTGTCGTTGGCTGAGAGGCTGACATTTCCCTGTGATATGACATGTGAAACGCTGGCCTCTCAGCCAACAACGCAGCATCACCCGGACAGCCACGAAATCATGAACTCAAGCATGAAAGGAAGGCTACGTGTATATCCTGAATTCCACTATAGCCCTAGTAATATTTTATAGTACAAATTACACAAGTTTTTTATATAACACAAAAAATATATCTAAACTAATTCTTGCTTTAGATTTCCTCACATGCATATCTCCAATAAATCAGATGACAATTTTAAGAGTTAAATGTATTTTTTTCAATTAATAGTTGAAATGAGTAAAGTTCAGAAATCCACAGCAATAATCAGGTTTATTTTAATGAGCAGTTAAAAAAATTACCAGCAAGTTGAATGACAACTTGAATTTCTGAAAGATATCAATAAAGTCCACTTCTGGGGGAGGTTTTGCACGCATAGTCAGCATTCCATCACCCAAATCCTTCTTTTTCGATTTGCGACTTCTGCAAAATAAAAATTATTGTCAGCACCTTAATATTATTGTCAGTTTGTTTTGGATAACTTAAAAAGCATAACATTTTGACCTGCATTCTTATAGTTATAAGATTGCTGGTCTTCCTGAAGAGAGTTTTAAATATAATTATATTAAACTATATTTAAAACTTCCCCCAAAATGCCGGAATTGTATCACTTTCTGACGTGAATTTCAATTTTTCTCATGGAACTGAAGAATAATGAAGCATACTTTGTAGTAAAATAAAATACAGCAACCTAACGTAGGATTGACTTCCATTGTCTTCTTAACTAAGACAACACAATAAAGTAATATTATTTACAGCTGGGTTTAAAATTGGATTACATCATATACAACACTGTGGATTGGTTTTTTTAATTCAGCAAAATATAATTTTCAGTATGGTCCAGAGAAAACGCTAGTTATATTCTTCAATTAGTATAAATGATCTATCACTTTTGCCATCAAAAAATAATAAATGGGACTATATTCAAATCCACACACATTTTAAGACATTTATAATGGAACAAATGTGTCAGCAATCAATGAGTCAAAAGAGTCTTGTACCCTAAAAGTCAATATGCCATAATGAAAGAAGTCTATGAGGTCATGGTTTCTAATATAACTCATCTTGAAGTCACATGTAATTTCATCATTTATTCAATAATTTCAGAGGCCAAATACCTGACTCAGTATAAAATATTTTGGTACCCATTACAATTGTAATATTTTTACCTTCGTCGACGTTCAAGTTCTCGTGATGCTGCAGCAGCATGTTGCAAGCGAGCAATGAATTTCTCAATATCATCGAAACAGTGATTTAAAATTGTTACATCTCTTTCATATTTTTCACTTGAAGTACTGCTTGTTTCATCATTCAGGTTTCTATCTCGAGGAGGATACATGCCAGGTCCCAGTTCTGCATGAGCACCTCGTGGATCTGCTTCTGCAACATCATTTCATTAGTAACACTTGTAAAGACGTAAATTGCAGATTGAAAGTTTTCTGACACCATACAAATTTATTACAATTTCAACCATCACTTTGTATTCATATAATATCACTAATATACAATAATAACAGTTGTTACTTTGGATGTCAGTTCTTCTGGGTTCTATGCAAATCTAGCTGTATAAAATATTGTAGTTCTTATACATTTATTCTAAAATCATTGTACAAAATTGTATAATCTAACATAATTAATTAAAAATACACTGAAATATCTAAATTTGTAAGGTCCACACTCACCATTCCAATGAGAAACAGGGAGATTTTTTCCCTTAACCTGCCATAATTCCTCTAAGTTACGAATTCTATTCCTTGCCATTGCAAGAAAGCCAGATTATTGCTAACTATTAACATATCCTTTCACTTCACCTCTCATTTTTAAGCAAGTAATAATACTAACTGATTTTTGCATGATTACACACCATACACCAAACTCTCAGTAACAAGCAGCATGCTTACTGCACAGAACTAGGTCAGGTAGTGAAAGTTCTTGATGCAGAACATTCTGAGGAGGGCCAGGTGGGAGATGAAGTAGAGGGGGAGAAGGTAAAAGACCTCCATGAGAAAAATATTATTTCACACACACATACACACACACACACACACACACACACACACACACAAGAACAATGAAAGCCCAGTCATTATTTATAACAAAGACATAAAAATAATTAAAAGCAATTTTTAAAAATTAATGAATTTAATAAACTAGCAGTCTTTCTTTATATACCAGGATAAATAATCTTTAGGTTCTATTAACTTAATATTGAGGTTAGCAATAAGTTATGAATAAATGGCTAGATTAAACATAACTATTTTGAAATAAAAAAAATATTAAAAATATTAATAACACTCAATAAGTGGAATTGAATACTGAGAAGGTATAAAATGATTAATAAATAGAAAGCAAGAAAAGAAAGAGAAGACCATGGAGAAAGAACAGTGCCATCTATGACAAGCATCTGGAAGACCAGATTTCTTGTCAAGAGGCTGGAACAATGGAAGTTCTCATAACATAATTTCCTTCTTCTTGAGAATTTTACTTTAATAATTTCGCAGAGAATGAAAAGCCTCTGAAAATTATAAAAATAAAAATGAAAATCAGGTTCTACTAATGATCAAAAACATCAGTAATTGTTCTCCAAAACTATTCAAATTTGTAATGGATTTGAAAAATATTTATCAGCATAAAATAGTATTCCACTATGTTGTGAATAATTTCTAATTATGTACCTACTTCAGCAACTGTGTGTACTGCACTACATTACAAAAAATACTATTTATATTTTTCCTTTGACTGACACATACATTTTATTTGAAAAAAGATTTAAACAGATCCAGTAGCCCTACTAATTAAGAGCACATTTTAGCTTCAATGGCAGAAACTATTTCCATGCACAGCAAAAGATGTAAAAACCATTGAATTATTATATAAGGATAATTCTAATAGTCTGTCTAAATTTAAGTGTATATAAAAATAGACAATTGCAAAGAATGCCGAAAAATAATATATTTTAAACTTCAGGTAAAAGACTCTCTTATTTTGTAGCTAAGAGTTTTGAACTTTTAATACTGCAGATACATAGTCACTGAAACATTTAAAAAGTTAAATGAATATGAAGAAAAGGTAAAAAGATTGATAAAATGAGATAAATTATTTGATTATAACTAGAGAGTAAATGGTATCTCTCATTATATAGTGGAACAAACATTCTGGCTATAAAGCAGCACACACTTATACACAGATAAATCTAAGAATTCTGAGAAGTTTATAAAATACTGACATCAGATTCAAACACTCCAAAACATTAGTGATGGGATTTCAAGATATATATAGATTCCTTGCGGAAATCCCTACCATTGAATGCTGATGGGAAAAGAAAGACAAAAAACAATATCTTTTTGGAAGAGATTATGCATCAGCATGTTATCAAGGATTAAGCAATAACTGAGGCTTTGCCTCAATTTATTATATCAGATTTAGAGAATCAAATAGCTGGGTGACATTATGAAGTGTATGAAGTGACAAGCAAGCAATAAGAAACAGAATAATAAAATATTAATTAAACACACTTAATCAAATCCAGAAAAATTACTTAAATAATTGAGATGATGTGGGCTATAAATTTTATTCTTATGGTACTATTACAAAACTAAAAAAGGATGAATTATGAAACTTCACTGAAGAAATGATGGAAATTATTTACTTGGCATTAGATCAAAGACCTAATTCAGTGAAGGGAGTACAGGAGCAAAACAAGAAAATAAAGTAAGAGAATAACCAATGTCTACTTACGATGAGATGTTGCATTGAAAACAGAGACTTGCTCACGAACATTAATGCCATTGTTAGGAGGCTCCGGAGGAGGGGTGGCGGGAGGTGGAGGGATATGCCGCGACTGACGGCCTGGGGGCACTTTGCCCACCCTCAACATCTTCAAGTCCTCCACCAATTCTTCAGCAGAAATGCGTTGGCACTAAAATTGAAGATGTAAAACTCACCAACAGTTCATTGGAGCAAATTAATCTCTACTAAAGTTATTAAATTACACTTTTGTACAAGTATATATATGATTTCTGCAGGGTTGCTCACAAAAAGAAAGCAGCATGGGGCAGTAGATCCACAGGGGCTCCCTATTTAAACAAAAGTTTCCCCACCCCAATACATAACAAGAATTCATCTTTCAATGCAACAGAAATAACTTCCAGCAATTGTTTTGAATTATAAGTACATTTTTTATTTATTTTGAAAGAAAAACAAATTTGGGTTCCCAATTAAGATGGGCCCTAGGACAAGTTGTCTCGGCTGCCACCTCCCCCCACTTTTGGGTGCCCCTAGATTTCTGTTCGAAGGCTTACCAAAATGTGTTTTAATAATTTTCATACAAAATGATTTTCCCAAATAAATCTTCTAGTGAAGTACAACAGCATATAAATGGTAAAACAACAACATACTCTTTCAGAAATAACAGTGTCTCTTTAAAAAGAGGGGGTGGAGGCAAAAGCACTAAAATTGAATAAGGAAAATGTCAACTTTTGAATTATAATGTTTCCTTATTACTTTCCTTATTTTACTTCATAATTCAACTACTCCATCATTCACACATAACCATGTTTACCATGTGTGGAGAAGAGTAGCATCCAAGAACACTCACCTGGAAAATGTGCATCTCTGAGCGAGAACTAGATCTATCCGGACGTTCTTCCCCCACAATGAAAACTAAAATATTGTTGTAGATTTCCATAGGATCATGACTTGTGAAGGCAGTAGGTTCTTGGATGAGTGATACTGGAAACCTTTCCATAACTGCCTGTTGAATGTTCATAAATAACAAGTTAATAGAGTTTGTAATTACATTTTTATATAACACACAAACATTTTATTTATTTTAAGTTCAAATATCTTTAATATAAGACCACAGTTTATTTTGTCAACATTTTACTTGTAACATTCCCACAAAATCTAAAATTTAACAAAGTAATAAATACAAATAATAATTTTATTAATAATAGAAATTTTCCAAATAAGGTACTGTTTTTAAGATTGAATTCTTTAATACAGTATTTTATATTATAATTACATTCAGATCTGGTTATTGTCATTCTCAAACCTACACTTATTTCCATAAAGAAGTAAAATCACAGAAAAAGAAGAAAGTGATAACATCATTGTAATAAATCAAAAAATACTATTTATATTTTTCCTTTGACTGACACATACATTTTATTTGAAAAAAGATTTAAACAGATCCAGTAGCCCTACTAATTAAGAGCACATTTTAGCTTCAATGGCAGAAACTATTTCCATGCACAGCAAAAGATGTAAAAACCATTGAATTATTATATAAGGATAATTCTAATAGTCTGTCTAAATTTAAGTGTATATAAAAATAGGACCAACTGGCACAGTGCTCAGGACCCTAAGCTAAGTCTTTCATGTTCAAATAATGCATCTGACAAAGTTGACTGCTCTGATCAGAACTATATCAAACTATGTTTCATGAAAAGCAAGATAATTACGAATTAACTATTGCGTCTGTCAATAATATAACATACAAATTATTGTTATCAGGAAGGATTTTTACATTCATATTTCATCTGTAGGTTGTGACCAAGATGAAAGACATTAGCATGTAAAGAGAAAATCTGGCACAATCATACTGGGGTGTGAGAGAACCTGAACAATTTTTTCTATGGAATATGCAATTTTTTTAAAATAAATATTTACTCTGTAAATTCAATTGGCAGTTCCTCCCTTATTGTTACTTATGCAAGTTCAGTCACATAAAAACTGTTTTTATTGGTGCACGAGTATTAAGGCTGGGGTGCACTATACCTCAGTGTGCCTGTGTAGGTGCACTGAAAATTTTGAACCTCATACATTTGTACAGCAGTTTTAGTGTTGTATACATTGAAGAACATTTTTGTTCTCAACTTCATGAGAATGGCTTGAAATCGTAATGAAATAGAACATTTCTTGCAAGAACCAGCATTTAGACAGAGTGATAGGCATTTATGTCAGTGAAGATGTGTTATTAATTCAACCCAGGAAATATAAAAAATTCAGGAAAACATTCTTAATGAAAAAAGAAAAACATAATAGAAAGAAAGAAGATAATTAGACAAAAATAATTATATTCAACAACTAGTAGAGATACAATAGCTCATACTTTGGTGCCATGTTTACAACGGCTATGCAACTATTATCAGAGGAGCACCCAGGAT